TTTGTATCCCATGAAGGAATCTGCTCCTTCAAGTGCTGAAATAATATCCTGGAAGTGCTCGACAACAAAGCCTGTCAGATCTGCCATCTTCAGCTTAGCACTTTGCTGGCATCCTGTCATAAATTGTTAGAGGAAAGGGGGAGAGGAAGTAGGCAATTGGCAGGTAGAGGGTATAGATGAGCAAAGGTGTGTGTGTGTGCGCGCATGTATGTACGTGTGTCCATGTGACAGTTTGATGGAAGCCAGAGATGTGAGAACCAGCCTGTTCCAGTCTTCAAGGCCGCAGAGCCTGGGAAAGGAATGCGAAATGCATCAGTGGCACCCAAACATCCAAGCTGTTCCCAAAATACCTATGCAGCACACCATTGGACGAAGACAGACCAGTCAGGGGTCAAGGGGAAATTCTGTACTGTTCTGCCAAGGAACTTCAGTAGTGATCTTGCTTTTGCTGCAACCACTAATCCTTAGTAAAACTTAGATAGTAAAGTTGGTTTACCTCAGCTTCCAGAAAGAAAGGATCCCTGGATGACATCTATCCCGTCCAGACTGTTTCGGTAACCGTAAACCGGTCTCAATTGAAAGAGTAACATTATTGTGATAATTTCTTTTTAGTATAATCTACCTTATCAAGATATATGTAAAGGACAATGTCAATTCAGGAATTCACCCCCCGGTCTTTGTTGCTCTCTGAGTTTGGCTGCTTCCTTGCAGATGTTTCATTAGTTAAGACCTTATGGGATACTTCTTTAGCTTTTTTTTTGCCTACAGCCTTTGAGCTTCTCCTATACGTCTGTTTTCTTTCTGCAATCAACTTGCAGTTTCCCCCAATGTTAAATCATCTTACTTTATGGTTTGCCATTTATTAGACTGGTAGGCAGAATGTTTGTGACTTGCTGCAGCCACTGAATCCCTCAAATAAACTGTGTAGCTTTACAATCCTGGCATTTAAGCCATCCAGCTCCTGGCAGCCTTGATCAACTTTTAATTGAAGTATTTAACCTCTTCTCTTAGTTTTTAGTAATTTCCAGGGTTTTTTTTTTAACCTCTTCTTTTAGTTTTAGTAATTTCCAGGTTTTTTTTAAATTTTCTCTGTAAAATACATTTATTAAGTTTCCTTTATTGCATCTTTGAAAAGCAAACAGCTAACGGAGACAGAAGATATCAGTTGTTATGCACGTAGAAGTTATTTCCATAAAATAGAATCTCTCCCTTTCAGAACATATTTTGCATGAGCTGCAGTGTAGAAAAATCTGATTGTGGTCCATAGTGCAGCTTCATTCTACTGTAGGGGCAAGCCTGTTGCTCCATGTAATGTGTGCAGATAATAAAAACATCCAGCAGAATTCTATTTGGGAAAAATGACCAGCACACCATCAACCAAACATGGATTTATTCAACAGGAAAGCAGACCTTCTAAAGGGGTCAGGTACAGGAACTTGCACAGAATCAATCTAAGGCAACTGGCACAAGAACTGTTCAGAATATAAATACTATTCCTGCTTTATTTATCAGACCTAATTTTCAACTTATTGGCATGATATAAATTCAAATGGAAACATAAAAAGTGATAAAGAATGGAAACTTTGTGTAATGTCCAATGTTATCAAATGTTACGAATGGTCATTCAAGAACATCTAGAAGCCCTAGGTTCCCTAAAATACTCTGATATATTTATAATTCTGAAATAGTTGTTCTTCCAGTCACAACTATTTTATGTGTGTGCAGGGCTGTACAAGAGGGTCTTGTACACAACTTATTGTAGTTAATTCCACTAAGGAACTGCAGAGTGATTGGACCCCTCCCAAGTCATTTAAATGGTTTATTAGCACATGTAACTTTCCTATGGGTGAGTATGTCCATGCCATGTGTCTTGGAGAACATCTGAAAAAGAGGGGAGAAATATTTGGAAGAAATGGAGAATGGTTGGACATTCTGATGTGAAGGATGCTATTGGTTCTTCACTTATATATGCTTCATGCAGGTCAGCAGAATTCAGCCTCACCACGTGAGCAGAACTGCTTAGGGAGTGGAGGGAAGAAGATTAAGAGAATTCCCAAGGCCTAAGAGAGACATATGTTGAATATATCTGGTAGTAGCGTAGTCTGTTAGAAAGCCTATGAGCCCTCCCATGGAGAGCAAAAAGAACAGAACAGCAGCTGGTTCTTCCCCAGTTTCCTGATTGCTGGAGAGTAGGGATTCAGGATGCATGAACTAACCAATCCATTGGCCTATCCTAACTCAAATCTACACTAAAACTCATAAATATTGCGTTTGGTACCCTCTACATAGTTTGCTCTGTAATTCTGGAGGTTGAAACCTGGTTTAAAGCTTCTCTTTACATTGAGGATGTTAGCATAGCCCAGAAAACTAAGCACAGTTGGATCTGGGAAGTTTTAAAAAAATCCTTCCAAAATAGTAATAGGAAATCACTGACTTACTGTTGTCAAGAAAACCAGCCAACTAGAATGACTTTTCATTTTGTCTGCTCATTAAAAGTGAAATCAAGGTATTTTTTTGCAGGACAGAGGTGTTCACCGGTGGAAATTAACAGCTATATGGGGCTATATGGGACCTGCAGAGCAGAGTACATATATTCCTCTTCAATTGTGGGATATATCTTGTACAATTGGAAAGATTGAACACATCAAAACAGGAATGAACACAGCAAAACTGCAGTCTGTTACATGCTCAGCTTGGATGAATCTCACTGATGTTAGTGAGATTCTAAGCAGATGTGAAAAGGGATTACATTGTCAACTATTGAAATTAAGGTCAGTTCACTTACCCCAGAGACTAACAGAAGGCTAGCATAAAAAACTTGAAATTCTCTTGCAATCAGATCACCTACCAAGATCAGGCCAATAACCCTGTTTTTGAATTGCATTTGCTCTGTCCCTTTAAAAAAGTACTTTCTTCTTTTTTACTCTGAGTAATTGTGACATAAGCGCAGAATAATAAAATAGCAAGCACAAATAAAACTAACAAAGTGTTAGCTTGTACACTTAGAAGCCTTTAATGGGCAAATATTCATTTTAAAAATAATAATAAATAATGCAGAATTATCTCCTGAATATTTTTTTTTACAGACATGTATTAATGTGTTACATTGTTTCATGGATAGGTAAAAGAACTTGTCAAGAGTAGAAACCCAATCTAAAAGTCAGTTCCTGTCCTGTTTATTCTTGTTGCGTTACTACGTCTGGGTTAAAGGTTTTCCACGAAGTCACAAACGGTGACACGTTCATGTTGTGGAAAACCCTTAGTCAAGACTTTCGTTGCACAGCCCTACTACAAATTTATACTTGATCTGTTTCTTTCCAAGAACATAAAAATCAACTTTCCAGCATCCCTTGGGTCTTCAAACATGCCTGTCAATATAACATGAAAAAAGGGAAGTTTTAATATAGAGAGTAACATCTGCATGCAGGACGTAGCAGAAAGAACTGTTGACAAGTGACATTCTTTTTTCATCCTTTGAAACAGACAGTCATGTTGAGAAATAGCTCTGCAAAGTGCAAGAAGAGTAAAACAACAAGTAAAGGGACGAGGCATCTGAAAGCTTAGATTCCCAGCAACCAGGCCCCAATGTCTCCGCGTCTAATGTCCTCCTGCATGTCAAGCAAAGGAGCTGTAGGTCGAGCTGTTAATCCCAAGGGGCAACACTGCAGCTTTACTGTTCCAGGCAGGTGATGTGGGACCACATCAAGTGTCTCAAGATGCCGGTGTGCTTCTACTTAGCTCTATAAAGTCCCTGCTGCTGATCTTCAACCTTTTCCAATTTCAGAGCTCACATAACATACTGATCCAGGAAACACAGTTTACCAACCTTAATGGCTGGGTTTGACACCCTAAATCACAGGTCCACAAGTCACATCACTATGTAGAATGTTGTGGGAGTTCAGTCAACTAATCTCCTACTGAGAACCTTTTCCTTGCTATCCTGCCCTTCATTAGTCACTGTTCCTATTGCCATTACTATTTCAGCAAGTTGCTGAAGCTTATGTCATTTGTTCCTGGAAATGGATTTATCTTATGACCCTGATTCTTTGGGACACTGATCATAGTAAATCCTGACCAACTCAGACACTTGAGTTGCTTTTATGTTTATTGTTCACTATCCCAGAATGAATGTCCCAATTTGTGACAAATTGGGATGAAAAATAAATGACCTAAGGAACACATCATTTTTCTAATACATTATCTAACTACAGAGGTGATTTGAATGTGCCGAAGAAAGCATGCCACAAAATGCCAATTATTTGGCTGTTACAGGTGAGCTACATGTTTCCTCAACTGTTCAAGACCCCAAGCAACTTTTCCTTCAAATCAGTAAAATCAGGGGATGAAAATTCTAGTGAGAATGTCAGAAGATTAAAGCTAATGGGCTCTGACTGATGGAAAAATGACTCTACTCAACTGACTACTTTTCTTACAGTAGATCATTTTGATGGGGGTTGCAGGACATTGTATCACATCAATTTCACCTTCAAGAATATTTATGTTCTTTGGCATCTACAGACAAGCCTAGAAAAAACAACACACAGCAATGCTTCCTTTTTGTGGTTACATCACCGGCAAAGCTCATTATTAAAAATAATTGAGAAACAACCTCTCAGTTTTTGGTAAAGCAGAAATATAATTGCATTTTAGCACTTTCAGGTCAAACTTCAATGTCTGGGAAAAGACGTATATTGTTAGCACATAAGAAAAAAGATGTGTGTATGACACATCACTTAGAACAAACACAAAGACAATCAAGCAGGTTGCTTATCGTTTGTTCATCACATGCAAAGCTTTATGACTTCCAAGCATCAACCAGAAGCAACGGTAACTTTGTACCACTCCATCTCGCTCTATGTTATTGTTAAGCACACTTGAGCTGTTGGTGCCAATGTCAAGCCAATACACGACAGCATTTATGGCAATGCAGACAATATCAATATCTGGCATTTAAGTTCCTGATGCATGAACCTCTTGTGTCTTTCAGCACAGACCACTTGTTAGAAGCAGGACTCTTGGGATTCCAGATCATTGTGGATTGGAAGCTTGTCAGGTTCCAGGTGATGACCATTGTGCAAGACTGTGTACCTATAAAAAAGGGGGGGAGGAAATGACATTAGAAACCAATGAAAGAAATGCCCCGAGTGTCCCTCTGTGAAGTTCTAGGCTGCATTTTCTTCATGAAGATCCTCTATGCTTCACTTTCCAAGAATCTGAAAATCCAAATTTAAAATTAAATAGGTGGCTGCCCTTCTCAAGAGCCACTATCATGCAGTCCTTGGAGTACGTTTTTAATGAGACTATGAGCTGAAATATCAAGAATATTTTTTTAAACTCCCCCCCCACAGAGATACTGTTGTCTAATTTCCTTCTTTACTAATGTTACCAAATATACATCTTGGGATTTCTTTGACATGACAAAACCTTGTAGCACTAGTCGACGTTCCCTTCTGCTCCCCCCAGCCCAGAACAAAGTAGCTTGAATTTCCTCTCCTTTTTCTGAGAATTGCAGCTTATCACAAATATACATAGGAGGACCTAATAATAATCAGTGACGTTAGAATATCTACCCAAGGTTTTTTTTTCCTACAGGCTATGGATGAAAATGGAAAGCTCTGTAATTCAGGAAAGCAAATATAAGATGAAATATGCACTGGATCTTTTAGGTGTTTCTCACTGTTATCTCAGATGCCGCCTTTTCTTTCAGCACTTCCCACAGCATATGAAAATATCAAGGTCCACACTATTGTCCATGGTATATCAAGAAGGTAACCCTTTCTTCTCCAGAAATATTTTGTGACAACTACTTATGAATGCAATAGTTGACAAATCAAAAGGCTTGATTTGATTTGTAAGTGATCCTGATTTCTTCTTCTTCTACTATTCAGAGAAGTTATGAGTGGGAAAGGGCATGGGGTGGTTAACATTAAAAAATGGAATTCTTCAATTTGGAGGAGTATATAAGGGCATTCTAGGACTCTGAGAAAACAGGAGAACTTCAAAAATGGCAGATGAAGACCAGATGGACTTTTCAGTTTTATCTCTTAGATAGATCAGTCCATCTATTAGGAAGATTGTGAGAAAGATCAAACAGCTCACAGAAACCCTCCATCTTATGTATTCAATGATAAATGAAGATGGGGGTAGAATTTAATTTCCAAGATTATCTAACCTAAACTTTTTTCCATGGCACTACACTTGATTAATGATATCAGGCATGAACTTAAGTTTGCTTGGCCATATGTACAATGCTGGAAACAATGTGCTTTCGGGCCTCCAAAGTCTACATATCTTCAGGTCCAAAGGAAAATTATTATATAGCAATAATGTTAGGAAGAGAAAAAGGTGATTTGGGGTATGCAGGGGCACTCCCGTGCTGCATACCCCCTCCACTTGATTGACATGATCCCAGAAGATCATGATACTTGATTTAAGGAGATCCTGATGGGTATGATATGAGTATGCTTGGAAATCCTCTTTCTCTTTTCTAGCTCAGATCCATACACAGTTCTAGTTTTAAGCAATCCATTCTCTCCTAATACTAGAACAGAATTGCAAGTGCAATACAATGAATAATGAATCAAGATCATGCAGAGTTAATACCACTTTATAATTCCTTAGTAAGACCATACTTGGAATATTGCATACAGTTTTAGTCGCCACGATATAAAAAAAAGATGTTGAGACTCTAGAAAGAGTGCACAGAAGAGCAACAAAGATAATTAGGGGACTAAAGGCTAAAATTTGCGAAGAATGGTTGCAGAAATTGGGTATATCTAGTTTAATGAAAAGAAGAACTGGGAGTAACATGTTATCTGAGTTCCAATATCTCAAGGGCTGCCACAAAAAAAGAGGGGGTCAACCTATTTTTCAAAACACCTGAAGGTAGGACAAGAAGCAATGGATGGAAACTAATCAAGGAGAAAAGCAACCTAGAACTAAGGAGAAATTTATTGATAGATAGAGCAATCAATCAGGGAAATAATTTGCCTCCAGAAGTTGTGGGTGCTCCAACACTGGAGGTTTTTAAGAAGAGATTGGACAATCATTTGTCTGAAATGGTATATGGTTTCTGCTTGAGCAGGGGGTTAGAGCAGAAGTCCTCCAAGGTCCCTTCCAACTCTGTTATTCTGAATACTTTTGTTGTATAGAACCTTGATATTACTATCACACAACATGGGAATACCTTCAGTAGGTATTCCATTGTGTCAAAGAGAGGGATTCCTGCATCTGTACAATTTGCTATAGCCTTTTCTGAGATTCCCAACTATACATAGCCTGAGTTTTTGGGTGTCTGGATTTGACTATTTCACCTGGTTAAGTAGTTATGCTACCATCACCTCTTCTTAAGAGGAGAGTTGCCCCCACACTGGAATCAGGATAGGGGCAAAGAAAGAATTTCCCCTTTTCTGGGAGTAAAGGTTTAAATAAATGGCTATACTTTTCCCATTGATCAGCATTAGAAGGCCAGGCAGTTTGTAACTGCATTGTGCTAATACAATCCTAACACTGGGAAACAAAAGCTAAAAGATTTTCTTTTCCATTTAGGCAAAAACAAGCCAAGACTTCCAGAAGCAGCTTAACTATACCAAGCTGCATAAATTATTAACCTGTAAACAGATAGAGTAAACAAAGTAGATATAACACAGGATTCAAACTGAGCCCAAGCAGCACTGAAAAAATCTTGGAGGTGTTTGCCTATATTTTCTCTAGCAAATTTATCTGACTGGTTCCAGTTTTGCCAAACCTAATCAGGAAGAAAAAAAGGGCTTTTACCGTAATTTGATGCTTACAGGACGTTCCTGTCCACCTGAGAAACAGCTAATCGCCTGAAACCCTCCCCTTGCCATTCATGAGTTAGTGATAGGAAGCTAGCATTCCATCTCTCTGCCCTAACATAAATACACACATGCACACATATAAAAGCACCACAGAATAACAATTTCACAAAATGCAAATGGTTATTAATCAGAGAAATACACACGTTTCAAAAGAAATCTAAATTGGGCATTCTCCCAGGTACACTTAAATCTCAGGTGAAGCATACGTACTCATGCTCCCAAACCCATGGTGACACCCAGCCTAAACAGGCAGATATTCTTTACAGTTTCTCAACCTGGGCTCCTTGAAGATGGATGGACTTCAATTCCCAGAATTCTCCAGCCAGAGAATTCTGGGAGTTGAAGTTCACACATCTTCAAGCAGCCCAGGTTGAGAAACATTGCTATACAGCAGGGGTCTTCAAACTTGGCCCTTTTATGACTTGTGGACTTCAACTTCCAGAATTCCTCAGCCAGCAAGACCCCTGCTATACAGTATATAGACAGATAAACTCTTTTACTTCAGTTTATCTCATCCAATGCAAATTAGTTTTTTTTTCTGAGAGTTATGCATTCTTTAAAAGCAAAATAGATATAAATTCCCTTTGAATCTACTTAATTCCTTGTGACTTCATGGACATGTGGTTTACCTTCTACTGGGAGCTCCAGGATTACTTGATGCTTTCCTATTTAAGTACTAAGTGCACCTGATTTTCCTTTTTCGAAATTAGTCAAGATCAGTTAGAAGCTGCCACCTGCTGAGCCTGTAGCTTCTTGTAATTCTTACTTCAAATTATGTCTCTGCAGTCTCCATGAGCTTCCCTGTTAAAATGTCTTTAATATATGGTGAAAAAACCAACAACCAAGTTAGAAAAGTGGTAAACAAGAATAAGCCACTTGAAAGTAAAAAGCAAATGTGATAAAATCTTTATTTTCCTTATTTAGTCACAGGGCACTTCCAGCAAGCAGCATGTATTAGAAGGTCTTACGATGCAGTAATCTATAAAGCTAAGTGTCAACTGTCTCCCCAGGAATTTCCTCTAAGAAGAAACATACAGTAAAATGTTGCCTCAATGCCAGAATGCTACTAACATCAAGATGTTAACAGCCACCATTCTGCAGCCAATGGGGGGGGGGGTCTATTTTCCATTAGATGAAATTTTCACAGTGCCCTCTGGCTTCCACTGTCAGTTTAACCATTTCTAGCAAATCAGAATGCCGGCATCAATTGCAATTGGCTTCCAACCTTCTGATATTATTTATTGAGGACTGATCTTCACTCTCCTTCCTACATTATATCAGGAATATGTCATGGGTGGCAGCCATTCTGAAAGGTTGCTTAAATGCAGCGGTGGCACCACAATGTCATTTGTGCATCTGCTCACATTTTTCTACCCAGCTATGCTTTTATGTTGCCATGGCAATGGTGCCACAGCATTTCGAGGCACACATACACATCGCTTTACAATCACTCTTCGCCCATTCCTATACAGTCGACTCTCAGAAGAGTTTGTTTTCACTGGACACAAAACAAATGATAGACCCAGGGTTTGTGGGGAAAGAAAGCTGCTAGCACTTCTTGTATTTTTGTGAGATAAATGGTTGTGCTGTCCGATTTTTCTTTTTTCTTTCTCTCATTAGGCAGTTTTTACTGCGCTTTCTGAAAAGTGTAATACAAAGGTGAGTAAAAAAGATACTCATTAGCTCAGACGTTTTCTTTTTACAGACACAGATTTAATAACAAAGGCCCATAAAACATTGTACTCATGCCCCAATCTGCCTACTGGAAATTAAGTTGGAGAAAGACATTTGCCTGTTCTCTACCTGCCTGAAGCCCCTTTGAAGTAAGTGAAGGCAGAGCCCAGAATTTCAGGCTTGCCCTTAGTTCATCTCCATCTCATTTTTTCAGCCCCACGTCCTGTGGTGTGGTGTGGTGTGGTGTGGTGTGGTGAAATTTCTGATACGGTTTATAGCAGCTGTGATAATTCTACGAACTCCAGGTTGCAAAGTTCTCCTGGAGCTGGCCGGCCAATTTTTCCTACTTTTATTTTCATCTAGGAAAAAGGATTGTAAGGTCTGCCCCAGAACAATGATTCCCATGGCTGCTGGAAATTTCAGTGCTGTCCTATTATTTTTGAAGCCCAACTTCCTACTCATCCCAGCCTAGCTTTAGTCCCAATCCTAATACAGGTAGTCCTTGACCTATGACCACAAATTGAGCCCAAAATTTCTGTTGCTAAGTGAGACAGTTGTTAAGTGAACTTTGCC